GAAACAATTTAAAGAGATAGAAGAACTAGAAACAAAATATGATATGAGAGATATGCACAAAAAAAAAGAGAAGTGACTGGAATGGGTCGAAATGGACAGCAAGGACACATAAAAGACAAAAAAGGAGTACTACTAATAGATTTACCAGAAAAATTAAAACGATGGGAGGAGTACGTTAGAGAACTTTTCCAAGATGAAAGAGGTGAAATGCAGGAAATACAAGAATTAAATCCTTTAGAAAGACATAAAATCACGATAGATGAAATTAAATATGCTATTAAAAACTCTAAAGACAATAAGGCAGCTGGATTAGATGCAATACCAGTAGAACTGTTAAAACTAGTGGAGGAAGAAAACTTGGAAGTATTGGCAGATTTATTCAACACGGTGTACGATACGGGAATAATGAAACAAGAGTGGCTAAAGTAAGCATTTATGATCATTCAAAAAAAAGCAGCAAGAGAGTGCTCTGATTATTGAACACCGAGCCTCATGAGTCATACGTTAAAAGTACCGCTGAAAGTAACACATAAGAGAATATTATACGAAAGGCTAGAGGAGGATATTAGCGAGATGCAGTTCGGGTTCCGAAATGGAATAGGTACTCGAGAAAGACTATATTGATTCAGCTATGTCGGGAAGCAAACTTGTGCTTCGTTGAAAGCTTTCGATAAAGTAAGACATGAAAAACTAATATCAATACTTATGAACAAGCGCATTGACAATAAAATCATAAATATAGTGCAAACATTATATTGGAATCAAAGTGCCATAGTTCAAATTGATGGGCAACACTCAGAAGGAATGAAGATCTGTAGAGGAGTTAGACAGGGACGTGTTTTATCGCCACTTTTGTTTAAATTATATTCTGAAGAAATTTTCTAAATACGCTCAATAATATCGAAGCGGTAGTCACCGTTAACGGAAAATTAATTAACAACTTACGATATGTAGACGACACTGTGATCATACCAACGAGTATGGAGGATCTACATCTTATCGAAAGCTTGAGTATGAATACTGCTGAGATAGGAATTACTATAAACGCTAAAAAAACAAAGTACATGCTAATTACAAAAAGACCACAATATATATATATATATATATATATATATATATATATATATATATATACCTATCACCTACATACATATCATATATATATATATATATATATATATATATATATATATATATATATATATATATATATATATATCACCTACATACATATCATATATATATATATATATATATATATATATATATATATATAACAATTTATTGTTTTGGAGTATCAGGTATGCGGTCTGTTATTAAAAAAAACTCTTTTTTCTTTTATGACTCTATATTTCGCTGATTTTTGTCAGCTTCTTCAGGAGATAACTAAAATATGGTTAAAATTGTATATACATCACAGGTGATAATAAACAATGAATTTACTTACAGATTAAGAGTTAAAATATTTAAAAATCTTGAACATAATATATTCAAAACAGTACTGACAGTATTAGTCAAAAGCATCTAGTCACTAGTAATTAAATATAACAAAAAATATAATAAATAGGAAACAAAAACAAACAAGAAACAATAAAAAACACAATAAAATTACACATTAAAAATATACAGGGTGATTTAAAATATAATTGTAAAAAGAAAAATTATTTGAACATACTAAGAATATTACAGTAGATGTTGCTCAACTGTCCCGTATCTGCCTTATAATTAACTGCATATTTTTCTTTATTAATGTGACACATTTCTAAAAACAATCTTTTTTTGTAATTGTTCTCTTGTTGTAGAACCCTGACATTTGAGTAGTCAAATTGATGCCCAGTTTTTAGGTAATGGTCAACTGCCGCACATGTATTCTTCTTTTTTGTGCAGTCACTTTTGTGTTGTGTGACCCGTTGTTTTAGCCATTGAGAAGTTTGGCCAACATAACAGCTCTGACAATCTAAACAAGGCAGTTTATAGATGACATTAGTTTTATTTACAGTTGGTGTCTTGTCTTTTACTTTAGAAAACAGTTGTCGGTTTTCTAATACATTATATTGGACAATTTTGATGTTAGTAAATTGTTTAAATAAACTAGTCACAGAAGGTGTTAACTGTTTTATTAATGGTAATTTTTTATATTGGATTGTTTGTACTGATCCGATATTTGTCGATAGAATTTATCATTGAAACTAAAATAGGTGTTCTCAAAAACATAATTCAGAAGTGTTAAAAAACTATCCTTAGAAATGGTTGTATAATTTTGGATGAGATTCCATTTCGACTGTATTACATTACAGACCAGATCTATTGGTATGTTAGTAAATAACGATATGACATCTAATGAAATTAGAACATATTCTTTCGGTAAAATCAACTCTCTGACATCATTAACAAATGAAAATGTATCCTTTGCATTATAGTTGTTCACTTCGTCAAAAGCATCTTTAAGAAAACCAAAACATATCCTTAAAAAATTAATATTTAACTCAGACATTTTTGACGGTCCCACTGATATCGGAGCAGTACAAACAATTTCTTTTTACAATTATATTTTAAATCACCCTGTATATTTTTAATGTGTAATTTTATTGTGTTTTTATTGTTTCTTGTTTGTTTTTGTTTCCTATTTATTATATTTTTTGTTATATTTAATTACTAGTGACTAGATGCTTTTGACTAATACTGTCAGTACTGTTTTGAATATATTATGTTCAAGATTTTTAAATATTTTAACTCTTAATCTGTAAGTAAATTCATTGTTTATTATCACCTGTGATGTATATACAATTTTAACCATATTTTAGTTATCTCCTGAAGAAGCTGACAAAAATCAGCGAAATATAGAGTCATAAAGAAAAAAGAGTTTTTTTTAATAACAGACCGCATACCTGATACTCCAAAACAATAAATTGTTATTTACGTTTCGGTCGATAATCCTACCAGTTTTGCTATATATATATATATATATATATATATATATATATATATATATATATATATATATATATCACCTATTGGCAATCAATGGTAACGTGATAGAACAAGTAGAAAAATATCAGTACTTGGGAACTTTGATCAATGAAACCAATGATCATACTGTAGAAATAAACAGGCGAATAGAGATTGCCAGATCAGCATTTATACGAATGTACACGAATTATAATTTACAAGAATATTATTGTATGAAGCTGAGACATGGACATTAAAAAATGCAATTTAAAAAGAATCGAGGCTTTCGAACTCTGGTTATACCGCAGAGTATTAAAAATATCATGGACTTATAGAATTACAAATAAAGAAGTACTGGAGAGGGTTGGTAAAGAAACAGAATTAATCACTACTATACAAACCAGAAAACTAGAATACCTAGGCCACGTGATGAGGGGTCCAAAATATGAAATTTTGAGACTCATAATACAGGTAAAGATTCAGGTAAAGGTAAAGGAAGAAGATCTGTTGGCCGAAGGCAGAACTCATGGTTAAAGAATCTACGTGATTGGTATCAATGCAGATTGATTGATTTGTTTAGAGCAGCAAGTTATAAAATAAAAATAGCCATTATGATTGCCAACCTCCGTAGGGAGACGGCACTCTAAGAAGAAGAGAATAAGTTGTCTGACAAATTTTAAGATTTGGCAGTGACAGTGACACTATGTAAATAATAAGTATTTATCTTTAAAAAGTACACCGGTCAATTTTCAACAAAATACATATTAAGAGTCGTATCATTTTTAGAAACCACTTGATCAAATACTTTGAAAAGCATTCATGTAAACAATTTATTTTTAGTAATACCATCAGATTTGGGTATAAAATGTGACCCTGAACTTTGCTTCTTGTTATTTCGTGAACTTTGATATATATCAAGGAAAAAATCCAAAGGCAAACAGTACTTACTAAAGCGATTTTGGAAAATGTGCTATTCCTTTACTTTGCATGATAGATGAGTTTTCGGATGATGTAAAAAAGCTTCCATTCTCATTTTACTTCGGTCTTTTCACAAGCTTCAATTTGCTATTTTTCTTGAAACAAAGGGTAATGGTGTGGGAACTATGAGGGAAAATAAAATTCCTACAAGTTGCGAGTTACCTAAAAAAACCTTTATTTCGGGGTCAAAAAAGGAGACATGATATCTGTCAACGACAAAGAAGATGGAATAATATTAGTAAAGTGGAATGTGTGGTAATGGATGAGTGGTAATGGATAATAACATAATGACAGTACCATCTACATATCATGGCGTTAATCAAGTTACTTAAGTCAAACGCTATTCTTGAACCGAAAAAAAATTATTCAAGTACCACAACCTTATCTCATTCATGAATATAATCGGTTTATGAGAGGCACCGACATATCCAGATACAGAATTTCAATTCGTAGAAAAGAGTGATCAATTTTTACTTGGCTACTAGATGCTACTATAGTCAATGCTTGGTGTATATCCAAGAAGGGTAGCATCAAACACAGCTTACCCGACTAGAAATCAGACAAGAGATTGCTCAAGCCTACCTGATAAAATAATGCACGGCTTCAAAAAGCGCTGGAAGACCTGTAGCTACTAAATTAAATTTATCTTTCAATAGGGTTTCAGGTAACTTAAGATCAGACAGAATAGACCATTGTTTCACAAAGATTCCCAGTAATGAGAGGTGTAGATTAATGAGAGGTGTAGATGTGCCGGAGAAGGTTGTAGTTCAAGTATTCCCACAATTTGTGTCAAATGTGATGTAGGAATATGCCTAGAGTGTAACATAATGTTTCACAACCCACTGTTATTTCCTTTGTGACTGTCCAATAATTTTTTGTATACTATACCTACATATATTTTGAGAAAAATTCTTGTATCAATATGTTTAATAAAGTGTTTTTACCAACATCTCTAATGTTTATGTACTTTTTTTGCACAAAAAATTCCGACGTTGAAGGGTTAGTACTTTTATTATTAACTATTAAATTTTGGAGATAGTATTTTGAAAATTAATAAAAACAAAATGTTTTAGGACCTGTACCGATATTGATGAATGTGAAAGATTTAAAGATAGAAAACTATGTATAGGCTCTTGCAAAAACGTACCTGGTAGCTACCGATGCGAATGTCCCCCAGGTTATAAACTAGGGAGTGATGGACGACTTTGTATAGGTTAGTATTTACCAAAAAGAACATAGTCCAGGCATATGGAATCTGTCGAAAAGCAGACCATAATGGACATTTTCCATAGCAGTCTATTTTTGCTGGAATCACTTCAGGATATACCCTGTATCAATTATCACGATATGCGCCAGTCGTAAACATCGTGCTTAAATTTTTTCTTTAACAAAATCTGAAAACAATTGAAAATGTTTGCTTTGTGTGCCCATATTTTCGTCTATAACCTTAGAGATATTGCTCTTACAAAAAAAAAAATACGACAGGTAAAAGTTTGACTAGTTAAAAATTGAAAATTCTATGTTTATTTTTAAAAAAATAGCAATAATTGCGAAAAAAATGCAAAAGATAATTATTTTTCCTTTTAATTTTTTCATGACCTTAAAAATAACTTACAGCTTTCATATTTCTTCTTCTTGTTCCAACATATAGTTGTTAGGGTTTATATATAATTATATATATATATATATATATATATATATATATATATATATATATATACGTCTCCTCTCGTATTTCGGCTCAATTCTGCTGTAGGTGGTTGGCCAACAAAAGGTTGTGAAATAATTATATTATAAAAATCCAATACTTCAGCGGGCTGCTGGATTCTGAAATCATAAAAATTGAAAGCTACACATAAATCTACGATTTTATTATGCTGTCAAACCACTTATAGTCCAGGAAATGAAGCATTTCACCTCGCAATTTTTTCGTTCTGCGTGGATTGACTTGAAATTTTAACAGAAGGTAGGTAATAGCCTAAGGGTCAAAATCTATATCAAACCAAAGTGCGCCAAAGCCATTTTATCAAAAAAATTGTAGAAAACAAATTTGTAGCTTTTAAAAAGACAAATACAATTCATTTTTTAAAATGTTTTTGCGATATAATAGGAACCGAAATACGGCCTATCAATGTTCAGCGGTTTTCTTCAAATGCCAAATTTGAAAGATTCAAAGTCAAATATCGGGAAAATGGTGCATTTTTGGAAGACAACTCACAAAATCTTTTTTAAAGAGCATAAATAGACCTATCATAAAAAAGACTCTAGCTCAAAAATTGAGTGAGTTATGATGAAAATAAGGTCCATACCTCATTTTTTTACGAAAAAATCGTTGAAAACAACCCCCTAACCACCCGCATAATTAAAATCGATCTTCACCATTCTGCAATTCTCTTTGTACATGTATTGTTAATACGTCCAAGAAGTTTGACCCATTTAAAATGATTAGTTTTAGAAAAAGTACAGCTTAAAGCGAGAAACGATTTACAATTTCATATTTTTTGCCCTTTTTTTTAAATATCCCCGAAAATACTGAATATATGAAAAAAATAAAAATGTATTAAATTATAGCTTTTTTAATGACTAAAATTTTCCTTTATTTCGATTTGTTGTACAATGAATATTTGGCGAGATATAGCCGTTTAAAGCATCGATTTACGATCAAGCACCATATTTTTCGAGCCCTTTAAACTCACCCCATTTAAAAACCAATGGTTCCAAAAATATTTAATTCACAGATCCTTGTAGCTCTTAAAAACATCTACAAAGAAACACCGAAGAAACACTCTATCGTTAAAAATGAAGGAAACACGTTAAAAAACCGGAATTAATTTTTTTTCCGGAAAATTCCATTAGTATAGTACAGTACATTTCGGAGCATAATAATCTACAAAACCGGTATAATAGGTAGTGGGGCGTTATACATTCAAAATATCAGAGCAACAGATTGGGGATGGTATTCCAAAGATGGTTTGTTATTACCCGTACGCATGAACAAACAACCTGCACCCGATGAACTTTTGAAAATTATTTTTTTGCCAATGCAAAAAAGGATGCGGCGTTTCATGTGGGTGCAGAAAAGTTGGTTTATACTGTAACTCTACTTGTTCTGGGTGCTCAGGTGAAGGGTGCAATAATAGTCCACCAATAATTGAAGAAGATGAGGATGACATAGATCACGATGAAGATGTAATTGATGACGAATAAACTAAATATTATAATTGTTTTACCTATAAATGTAAATATTTTCAACTATTTATGTAAATGTATAAGAATATATGGTGCCTTTTTATGTTGATAAATTTTTTTGTATTTAATTTTACTTTTTTCAATTTATATCTATTAAATTAGTTTATAAAAACTGCAATGTAAAGGGTGATTTTCAAAGTTGAAAGTTGAAAAATTTTGGCAAACAATTGTTTTCACCTATAGCACTCATAACAATTGATTTTTAAGGGTTGAAAATGTATGAAATTGTATTTTAAAGTATCAAAAAATCACTATTTAACTAATCCAAACCAAATTTCACTCATCTTAAGATTTGTATTTATTTTCCAATTTTTGAAAATTAGGGGTAGTTTTCACCCCTAAGAACAATCAGGATTCATCGGCATGACATAAACTATAAAGCAGAGATTGAGTTGAGCTTAATTCCAAATTCTTATGCAAATCGTTCCAAGGCGAAATCATTTTCTTCGCATTACTACTTTTTTTTTACGTTAATCTCTAACAAGGGTCGCTTTTTAAGGGTTGAAAGATGATGGTACTTTATTCAAAAGCACGGAACTATCATTATTTAATCAATTCAAACCAAATTTTACCCATATTCAGGTTTAATATGTTATTTTATAATTTTTGACAATTAGGGGTAGTTTTCACCCCTAAGAACAATCAAGGTTCGTCGACATGACATAAACTATAAAGCAGCGGGTGAATTGAGCTTAAATCCAAATCGATCCAAGGCGAAATCATTTTTTTTTAGAATTAGTAATTTTTTTACATTAATCTCTAACAAGGGTTGCTTTTTAAGGGTTGAAATATGATTACCCATATTCTGGTTTAATATGTTATTTTATAATTTTTGAAAATTAAGGGTAGTTTTCACCCCTAAAACCCTCCAGCGCACTTCGGTTCGATATAGATTTTAATCCTTGGGCTATCACCTACCTTCTGTTAAAATTTTAACTCAATCCATGCAGGACGAAAAAATTGCGAGGTTTTAACTTTTTTCGAGCTTCATTTCCTGAACTATTATCGCTTCCTTAGACAAGACCTTCTAAACAACATTGCTGCGAGACAGATTGTTGAACGATATTTTATACAATGTCTATACCCAGGTATGGATTTATTTTTGTCCAAGTTTTATATTGGTCCACTTTTTCAAATGCAGTTCAAACAGACATATATTAAATTGTATGATCCGTTTTAAATTCGTTCAATCTGTATATATATATATATATATATATATATATATATATATTATATATATATATAAATATATATATATATATATATAAAATATATATATATATATATATATATATATATATATATGTATATATACGTTTCGGCACCCATTTTGGAGCCATTATCAAGAGGGATATGGTTCCGTTTGGGTTCGGGGTATCAATCTGCCTACTCCCCTCACTATTGACGTAACAGTATCTTGTTCTGTAGAAATACAAAAACCACTAAGGTCTCAATTTCTTTATTAATGGTCTTACCCTGTGTGGCTGCTTTTATACTCTCTTCACGAATAATTTTGGGTTTTAAGGAGCGAATAGGAGCGATGGTATTTGCTTTTTCGAAATCTATTTTGTGACCTGTCTGAATATGATGTTGGGATAGGGCTGAAGTAGTATCGGAATGTTTTACAGATATAGAATGCTCGTAAATACTTATACTACTACCTAAATACTAAATAGGGTTTTGGATTCGTTAATTTGTCTGACCTATGTATGTAGTCAGTATGTATTAAGTCCTGTGGACTTAAACGTGCCAATGGGTGTGTCAATTATTATACAAAGAGCAAATAAAAAAAAACATTTTTCGATGAAGCATGTGAAACTGAAACAATTTTAAAGGGGCAAGAGGGTTTCAAAATTGAGGTATATAATGTTATATGCGACAATATTACTCAAGATCTTTTAAAGATAATTGAATTCTACAAGGATGTGACATCAGCTTTTAGATGTTTTTTACGCTAGATAAAGTAGAAATCACGACGTCAATTAATACCTTATGCGAGGAATATAAAAAAGATGATGAAGCCAAAGAGAACTTGAATAATGAAATTACTCATTATATAACGTTATGCCAAAATTTGAATAAAACCTACAAATTATGAAAAATTTGAGGTCATTCAGGAAGTAAAGGCAACTTTTCCCAATATTTTAACTTTACTGCATTCCTGTTCTAGCATTCGAACGAGTAAGACGTGTGCCAAGTACAATTAAAATCCAGTTTGCCTTATCGGTAGTAATTAGTGTTTAATTTAGATTTAATAGTGTAATTTCGAAAAGTGATTTCTGGACAAGCTTTGTACGTATTGCTTTTGTTATATTATTAAATCATATAAATTATATCTAATTTATACAAAGTGCATACCAGAGACTGGTTTTACCAGTCTGCTGGTTCTTTCTGGCCATCCAATTCAATACATTTTAATACAAATTTGGATAGCAAAATTAGTTAGAGAAGAGAAATAAAACGAGGTTACTGTCTGTATTTACATGGACAGTACAAATATAAACAATACTCCTACAGTTTCTACCTTAACAATGGCCCTTCAAACTGCTACAAACAACATTCCAGCAACTACATATCTTTCATACGTAACCGCTGCAAAATCTACACCAAAACCATCTTTCCCAAAAAAAGAACAGGCGATAGTTCTTCACGCAGAAGAAAACCTTAAACTTCTAGGCTACGTTAAAGCCATTGGTGACATCATCGGACCAAAAAATATTTCCTTTGCATCCAGAATATCTAACAATAGGATCTGCATATATCTAGTGAACTCAAATCTCGTTGAACAACTGCTAAAATCCCATCCAACCGTTCAAATCGGACGCCTTACTTTAAGTATTCGTAAACTTGTCTCCCCAACAAAAAGAATATTAATTTCGAACATCTCTCCTTACATTCCTCATGAACTGGCCGAAAATGCAGTGAAAAGTCTTGGTTTCCAAATAGCCTCCCCCGTGTCCTTTC